GAGTGGTTACACTGCCTGCCTGCTTTGAGCAAGGGGCTCTGTGCCAGGAGGTGTCAGACTATGCAGATCTCTGTGTGCAAATGAGGTGCAGGTCAGGCCCCTTCTCTGACTGCCACAATTTGCAAGGATTTGTTTAATCAACACTCAAATGCCTGAGCAGATAAAGCAAAACAATTAAGGTTTTGCTGTAGAATTAGTTTGCATTAAATAGCCCTTAGATTCTTATCTTAATCCCTAAAACCAACCAATAAGAGGCTTAATTCTGTTGGTTAAACCCTGATTCCATGCAAAGCTGAATGGTGAAGCGCTGGGCCTGATTCCCTCAGGTGCAGAAAAGTCGTAGGCTGTCTCACTCATTGTGCTCCTGAGCCTCCAAGAGCGAACTGACTTCTGGCACTCTGATGGTTAAGACGTGCGGCAATTACTGTTCTGCGCTGGTCTGTAAATATGCAAAACTAAGAACTGCAGCTTTTTGAGCAAATAGTTGACTTTTAGTATTGCAAAGAGTGCGGTTAAGTAGGTATCATATTAAAATCCTTAGAACCAGCGTCTATATAAGAATAGAGTGTTCTGGTAGTGATGGTTATGGTTTAACGTGCGAATGTTTTGGCGAACGCAAGAGACTGTCTTCAGTGGGGTCTGTGGCCTAACGGCTGCGGTCCTGCAGACTTTTTGTTGACAACGATATAAACCTGATTGCAGGACAGCCAGCATGTCACTGTAATCCTGCCTTATCACCCTGCAACTCCCAGCTGGCAGCCCACTGGAGCTCAGCAGGTGTGAGCCTGGCCAGTACCTGGATGGGAGACTCCTGGGAAAGCTAAGGTTGCTGCTGGAGGAGGTGTTAGTGGGGCCAGCTGGGGGTGCTGTGGTCTATGTGGGTCCTAATGCCCCAGTATAGTGACGGGGACACTATGCTCTAAAAAGGTGCTGTCCTTTGGATGAGATGTAAAACCGAGGTCCTGACTCTCTGTTGTCATTAAAAATCCCAGAGTGTCTCTTGAGAAGTAGGGGTGTTACCCTGGTGTCCTGGCCAAATTTTCCTCTGGCCCTTATCAATCATGGCCTCCTAATAATCCCCATCTCTGAACTGGCTTCATCACTCCGCTCTCCTCCCCACTGGGAGCTGGAGTGTGGGGAGAGGACTGGTGCATCATGCAGGTGGGGCTTCACACTGGGGGTGGTGGAGGGGAGTCCCCATTACCTGTAAAGCGCTTTGAGTGGAGTGTCCAGAAAAGCGCTATA